GGGAAAGCTTCTAGTGGATCTTAACTACTAAAAGGCATGACCAAAAGGCACAAATCTGCAAGAAACCAGGCTGTCACAAACACAACTATTTTGTGTTTTGTTCTGTACTTAGTACCTTGCCTGCTGAGGAGGAGGCCTAAGCCTTACAAAAGCATTCCTCCGTTTCAAAACTCTCAGGGAAACCCCAAAGGATTTCCCCACTCCTGAACTGCAGAGTGACTTCTTCCCTAACCAAATGTTCCCTCTCTCTTCCATGTTACTCTTCAGTGACATGAAGTTAAGTCCCAAGTGCAGTGATGGACAACATTTCTTATTCCTACTTGTCTGATTTCATAGGCAAGTTTTTCCTTTTTGGATTATTTTTGACTGCACAATGGATTAAACTCAATGCAATTCGGCATGACAGAAGGATCGATCACTCACCAGAAGGCTTTGTCTGTCTAACAAGATGAGACTGCCCAACAAATGCCTCCAGTTCTCTTACTCTGTCAGGCACTTCTTTGAACACCTATAACCCAGCAGAGAGGAATAAAACAGTAAGACAAGCCATATTAAAAGAGTAATCACTTATTAGAAGACAAAATATTCTATGCCATGCTTGCTACAATGGCATGCCTCATATATTTCAATGTATTTTTTCAAAACAACAAAAATGCCAAGAGCTACTCAAGACTGTTATTCCAGTACATTCCCATGTCCTACCTAAATCTGGAAGAGAAATAAATGAATTGGTTGTTTACATGGCTTTTACTGCCTAAGCATCAAAGCTGTGACTCATTATTTGAGTACACTTTGAAAGAAAGATGTGAAACTTGATTTGTGGTCATCAGTGTCAGGAAAGTAGAGACATCGGAAGTGAATTTAAAAAAAACACCACACATTATCACTAAACCTTACTGCAGTGAAGATAAATCTGTCTACCTTACTTTTCAAAGTTTTTAAAAGGCAGTGATGGAAGTGTAATATAAAAAAGGCAGGGGAGGCAGAGAATCTCCATTTTCATGGCTGAGTAGGTAAAAACAGATCTTTCTTTCCTTCCCTGAACTATCAAAAGCCCCTTTACTCAATAAATTCTCAACTCCCTGATTCACAATATAATCCCAAATAATTCTAGTCCTTCTTTACTTGGATCTCCAGGCTCTCCTTGAAAAAAATCTGGTTTTATTCCAGTCAGTGAGTTCATCTCATATGCTTGCCGATGAGACTGAATACCAGGGTTTCTAATCTACAGCACTTATACTCAAAAAGAATCCCAGACACACTTGATAAGGTTTTCTCACTAAGCTTTACCACAGCTTCATTTGTCTTTTCCTCTTAGCTGCTGCAAACATTCAGCTTTCCTATACAGCAAAGATCTAGTGACTCTCTCAACTTCAAATTAATACATTACTGTTTGCCTCTAAGTGAAACACTTTTTATCCATTTAAAGAAAGCCAATATAAAAGAAAATCAACAAAAAAAAACTAAGCTAACTAAATGATCTCATTCTGAAGGAAAAAACATCCACCAGTGTTTTCATGCAGATATAGACTGGGGGACATTTCCTGAATATGCCTGTATGGCTTTCCAGACATTTTATGTACATGTCACAGATACATGGAAAGGAAAACAACCATTTCAAGTACACCACTACATTTTCAACTTCAGGTAACCAATGCTGAAGAAATGCACACCTTATTCCACCTCACATTGAGGGACTGCAGGCAATCAGAAAGTTTGTCTTTTTCCTGAAGATCAACATTTTTATCCAAAAGCACTTCAGGTTCAGTTTTGTTCAGCCATTCCAGTTGGTCTCCCTGTACTTCCATTTCTTCACTTAAGACCTAAAAGGGACAGAGCAGCTTTAGACTGAAGCAAAATGCATGCATGAAAAGAGATGATGGGGTAGAAATTTTCCCTTAATATTAAAAATATTTAAATATTTTGAAATTTCTCTGGAAATATGTAACATAAAAGCTTCTATTTTGGTTTCTATGCTCTAACCAGAAATTTTTAAAACATTTATTCAAATATCAACATTTATTGCTATGCTAACTGAAAAAAAAAAAAAAACAAAAACCATACACAAACCAAACACACACACCACAAAACTGCAAATAGCTAAGGTACCTATCCATGTAGCTTCACATCATGCACACCAATTTTCATGTCACAAGATCCTTCTGTTTGATCAACTCTGCATGTACCACGTGTATCCAAAGGGCAACACATTGTCAAGCAAAACTGTTGCCTGCATTAGTTTTGAAAAAAAATAAAGGCCTACTCCTGACACATATTATACAAGTACACAGTAGATCACTACAAGGTACTTCACTAGTACTACCAACTGCTTTTAAGGAAATGTACTCTAAAGGGATTTAAAAAATAAACATAACCTCCCAACTTCATTTTGATCAACCTCCCATACCCTTTAGACATGAAACTGCATGTCAGATCCTGAAAAAAAAAAAGCAAGCTTATGCTTGGATTACCACTTTAAATCAGCTGTGCTATCATTTGCCCATAGGCCACATACACTGTGGAGCAGGAATCACAAATTTTGCCTTTAAAGCACTAGGGGAAAAAAAAATTACAATAGCAAGTACACATCATATTTATCCACCCCAATATTTATACTAATCTTTGTTATACAAGTATTATAGAGGTGTGCATGGTAAAGTAATAGGAACCCAGGCCTGGAAGTGAGATCACAGAACAGAGTACACCTGCTATAATAAGCACCATACCAAAACTCCTAAGTTTTCAAGGGTCTACCTTAACAGAATTTTTTTAAAAAAAATATTATAATTGGATGCTGCTCCAGAAGTTCTGTGTAGAAATCTTCTTTTCATGCCCAGGTTGTGCTTTTTCCTGACTCATCAGTTAACAACTGTTATTCCCACTTCCCTTATACCAGTTTTTAATAACTCATCTTCCCCAGGCTTTCTTATTCCCATCACCATAGTCCTTCTCATTGTTCTTTATCTGATTAGACACAAGGCAAGCCCTGAGTTTCTTTGCAGATGAGGAGCTCCTCACCCTCCCGACCGGTCCACTAATCTCAGCCTGTACCTTTTCTACTGCAAACTCATCTTTCCTTAACATACATAACCAAAATTGTGCACGTGTTCCTGCCTTCACAGGGCCAAATTGGTACTTAATTCCCTAGCAGTGTTTCTCTACAAAATTCTGCTTTTCCTCCCCTTGTTCCAGTTCTACCTTTCAGTTCAGGTACCTATATTATGGTAGATATGAAAAACTAAGCTTTCATGATAGTCAGAAAGCAAGCACTCAACGGACTTGAGTCAATTTGTTTAGGCAAACTGTATATATAAAATAGTTTACATATTTATACACGTTTGTTCAAAGTTCAAGCCTTTCTACCTGATTTGGTGTAACAGAGGTTGGATTGTCTTGATTTTTTTTTTTTTTTTTTTTTTTTTTTGTTTGTTTTGTTGGTGTTTTTTTTTTTTTTGGTTGGTTGGTTGGTTGTGTATTCCAGGAACATTCCCTTTCAAATATCCACTTACCACTTTTTATCAGTAGTACATACATTTCTCACTTTCAGAGACACAGCCACCATCTTCTGGCTAGATAACACAGTAATCAACTCAACCCAATGTCATTACAAGATGCATCTTGTCTGTGTAAGTAATCTCACAGAACTGGTCTCACACAACCGTAAATATTTTAATTTTATTGACTATTTACAATGTGAAAATTCCCCACCCCAGAAGCTATGTCCTGATGTTTCCCACAAGACATACATATACACACACATATACACACTAACTGCTCTTGCCTGTAATTCTTGCAAGTTTTCTTCATGGTTGAATGTAAATCTCGTATCCAAAGCATTTTCTACATTTTCTAACCAGAAACGCAGCTCATCAATCTTCTTTCTGTACTCTATCAGCTGCTGATTCTCTCCTTTCAGCCTTAAAAAGGAAAACAAAAAACCCACATGGCATTTCTGCAGTGAACACAGAACATTGGTGCCACATGTAACAGTCCCATGTAACAGTCACATGTTTTCCAGGAGTTGGAGCATTTTAAAGGATTCATTTTGATATTCAAGGGATTCTATCCTCATCATTAAAATGCAAACTACTTTCAAATTAATACTACCACCTTAAAAAAAAAAAAGATACATTTCAGTTCCAAAGTCACAAAATACTTCCAGAAGTCTACAGAAAACATTAAACATAGGTGACAGTAATGACAACACCTTCAGGCCTAATCATTGTTAGGCACTGTAAGACCACGCTTAGTAAAAGTATTAGAAATGTCCCTAAATCCTGCAAGAGAAAAATCCCTTAAATCACACAGAGCTTTAATGAAGCTTCTCAAATTAAATAGCAAGGAAAAAACTTAGTACATTTCTAAATGCATCAGGAGATGTTAAAAACCTAGGTAGCCTCTGAAAATAACTATTAATTCCAGGGATTTATCCTTATACATTTCTAGCAGTAAGAACAGAGGGGGGCACCTTATATCCTCAGATACACTGAAAAATCACATATTTATCTCAAACAACCTTTCCCTTTGATCCTTTCGAGTAAATTTCAGACTACTTCAAAATAGATTTTCATTTTGTTCAGAAAATACCCAGTCGGATGGATTAAATTATTGCAGACACAGCCCTAAAGATCTTGTTTTACAGTATTGTGGCAATAAAAGTGTTTCAATTAGTGTACTTTTGACAAAGCAAAAATAGAAATCAGGTTCATGTACTTACAGTTCAGCTTCAGCCAGAGAAAGTAGCTGAGTACTTCTTCCTAAAAAAAGTCTGGCTTAGCAATAAAATTATTTTAAAACCACAGGAAAATTGTAAGAAAAGAAGTTCTATGGTTGTCATTTGGTGGTTTGTGTTAAGCACAGACTCACTAAGCAGCCAATTGCAGGTGCATTTATGAAAAATTAGTTCTAGAAGACAGTTTGAAACAGAAGTCTTATTGTCAGGAAAATTCAGATTAATGACAGAATGGAATAGAAGGCACTCTCTCTCCCAGAGTCTTCTAAATGAGATTCTCCACATCAGATATGGTCAGATATCCAAATTCTTGATTAACCTATTACCTCTGTTGTCTCTCCATGACCTCTGTGGTGATTGCTTTCCAGCGTCTATTCAGTCCCGCCAGCTTCTCCTGTAGGAAGCTCCCATCTGTAGCAGACAGTTTCTGTATGATCCCCTCCCCAGTCTTGTTCAATGCTGAAACACTGGCATGATGGCTGCTGACTCCCTCTTCAAGTTCCTGTCAGAATTATAAAAGCCAGACAAAATTTTATTACTGACCTAAAGTGACTTTGATCTGTGGCTCATAATATGCAGGATGAATCCTTGGTGCACGTTATTTTATGAAAACAGGCACTTGTAGCCACCTTATTTAAAATTGGATGCTGTTGATTTAAGTTATAAAGACTCTGTTGTTGAATTTAGTTCAATATTCTAATGAGTATCATAAAAAGATAATGACACAGAACAGGCTGTTGAATACTACTTAGGATCACAAGAATTCATTTAAACCATCAATATTTGATTCCTTTCCTCTTAATTTACAGCACTTTCTAGCAGAGCTAACAAATGGTATGACTTTTTTTTTAACCAGTTCTTTTCATAACCTATGTCCCTGGCTGTTTCTGTAACCTAAGAGTATCTTAGCTAGAATAAACATGGCTGTGCTGCTGTGGTCCCCAAATATCACAGAAAATCCATCAAACTCAAGGAAGTCAAAAGAAGTCAGGATCAAAACTTCAAATATCCTTAACCACTCCAAAAAGCTCACAGTTAGGTAAAAATTCTTTGCAACTAGATAAGAAAAAAGATGATTCAAGAAAAAGAAGGAAATGCCCTATAAGAAAACTCCAAGCAGCACCAAGGATAAAATACAACCTGAATGTTAGGTAGAGCATATGCTTCTTTTGCAACATACCTAACTCTTGGATAACCATTATTCAACAACCCTCCCCCCCCCAAAAAAAAAAATATAATCCTTGAAGTTATATTTTCTTCTCATTATTTAAAAGGAAGTATTTTAGCTCAATAGAAAAGTCTGCTCTTCCATAATGATAAGCTAGAAAGACATCAGAGAATTAAACTCCAGAACTGAAGCCTAAAACAATCAAACCTCAGACATTTGAAATTGGAATCTTCCCTTTTTATCTTTGCTCCTTCTCCAGATTGATTATACAAGGCAGGACCTTGCAAAGTCCTTGGTTTAAAAAAATAATAGTTTGCTAAGTTAAAAAAAGACCATTGTTGGTAAGTATAATTGATGATGTTGATGTCCATTTTTTCAAATTATGAGTAAAGAGTAAAACAATATGCTGGATTTCTTAACTAATTAACACACTTTTAAAGTTGTAATGAAACTTATAAAACAACAAAAACTATGCCAACATTTGAATTAACAAATTATCTGAAATTCATCTATACTAAGAGTTATCATAAACCCCTATACTGTAAGCAGGAATTGAGTTCTTCCCCAAGAATCATTTCAAATTGCAATTCAAAAAGAAATTTTGAGAGTCACCTCTCTAAAGTGCAATTGCACAGCCTCAGTTCAAATCTATATGTCTGTATAGTAAACTAGAAAATTAGACAAAAACCTTGACTTTTTCCAGCTTGCTTGTTTTCTGCACAAATCACACATACCTGCTGATGCAGCCCAGCTGCCTGTAGCTCCAAGCTGCCATCTGGCCCACGGGCATCGGCTAGCAGCGCTTCAGCTTCCGTTATCCAGTGGGAGAGGTCGTTGAGATCACAGTGGAACTGCCTCCACACCTCGATCGCTCTATCAAAGCAACTGTTTGAAAACAAAGCATCCAAAAATTACCCAGACTGTTTCAGTGGAAGGGCTACAAGTCCTTCCACGCAGCCTGCTTAACCAAGTCCCAGCACTGAACACTCCCTGACATAGTAGCAGCTGGGAAAAGCCAACAGCACAGGCTGTCGTTAACTTCCAGCTGAAAGAAAAAAGGGCAGTCCTAAGCAAACTTTTGGTTCTATCACTTAAAAAATAAAGATTGATTAGCTGCATCAAATTGGCCTGCAGAACCCATTTTTTCTTCATTATAAAACAGTTCGGATATCAGACACTGTGGAACATGAAATATGATTAATTACTCAGATGATTTTTTTAATTCAGAAACCATGGGGTGCTGGTGCCTGAAATTTAACAAGTGAAGGTGATTCTGATTATACAGAAGTGACTGTATTAGCAGTAGGCCTGCATAAGTAGGTCTTACACAATTTAATCACACCATAATTTACCAGGCATTTCATTAATATTATCATCTTTGCAGCCTCAAATTAATATGTAGCTTAGCTTGAAGGGTGACATTTTCTAGCACGGAACAGGAGCAACTTATCAGTCAGAAGGTTATTTTAACTAAAATGAGAGTTAACAAAGTAACAAAAACAGCCCTTGAACATTAAATAAGAATACCATGTCAGAAAGGCATAGGGTGGCTTGCTTTCTTTTTGTTGATTGCTAACTCTATGCTAACATTATAAAGCAATTAAGTTTTGGATGTTTCAAAGGACACAGGACTTGAGACAAACAACATGAAGTCTACATCAACATCAGACTGTATCCCATTCCAATCTATCTTATTCCAAACTAATAAAAATAGTTGTCTTTAAGACAGGTTTCCTGCTAACCAGAGGACCCTATAAATGTGACAGAGGAAAGATCTCATCTGCAGCCCATTATTTTTGTCTTAATTCCAACAGCAAAGACTCCAGGGTTACAGATGCAATCGTAAATTAGCAGCATAACATCAAAGATATCCAAAAGTAGGCTTTAAAGAGCTACCGTTGTATCTATTTTCTTCACTAATTAAGTTCAACCAGCCCAGAGTTCCTAGTGAGATTATTTTTATCAAGACATCCATATTTCTTGGCACATACAGGGCTTGTTTGCTATCATTATTCTTCATGTGGGCCAATTCCAATAACGAAGAAAGCCTTAAAAATCTCTACTTAAATTTTTATGATCTTACCACCTAGTTCTACTGTTTCAGTTTCATGCACACATCTCAATTCAATACACCTGTAGACTGACCTCAAACCTCAGCTGCCTTTTTTTTTTCCCCTTTGGTACATTTTAGTCCAGCTGAGTATATTGTCTCACAATAGTATCTCATTCCATATTTAATGAGAACAGCTATTCTAAGCATCTAAAATAATTCAGAAGAACATTTCATTGCCTTCCATCAAAATTAAAGTTCTTGGTAGAGTTTCAAACATGTGACTTTTCAGAATCCAGAATTCTAAAACTTAAGAGGAGAACACTTTGAGATACAAAACTAACTCCTCCCATTTCTGTTGTGAGCCTAAAATTCCATCAATATTTTGAGCAATGATGTGAAGTTTCACTCCACTTTTGAGCCAGATGTACATGTTGCTTTTTCACTAGAGACTGCCTCAGCTGAAAGACAGAAGCACCAAAGTCCTGTCACTACAGCACTGAGACTTGGCTGCTCCTTGTCTCCTCCATAGAAATCCATTTGCTTCCAAATCACAGCTCATTCCCAAGTCATCAACACTTCTAGCATGGAAAAGTCCACGGCAGAAGAAGCAGAACTAGCAAGCTCAGCAAACCATTAAGCCCCTACATGCATGCATTTTATTTTACACATATGTTCACATCAAACTTAAGTCAGCTGGATTGAGTGCAACACCTAGAAGCTTTGCAAAGTACAGTTTATTTCAATTTGTGCTTGGCTACATCAGAGCTTTTGTCAAAGGTTCACCTACTTAGTGTGCACTCAATCACAAAATCATTACTACCTCTGAAAACTAAATCAATCTTTTGCCAGAGACTTCAAATATTGTTTCTCCTAATTCTGTCAAAATCTCCATGCACTCCAGAAATAGGGAAAAAAAAAAAACAAAAAAACAAAGATTAAGGAGATAAAGTCTTCCTGCCTTCTTGCTTATACTTAGGGCAACACTAGGAAAAGCAAACATAAGCTTGGTTTAAAATTCTTAATGACAAAAAGGGTATAAAAATACTAGTGGCAAAATACAGCATTTTAATACTGATACTAATATTGTCTTCATTAACCACAGTATACCATTCTATTAAAATTGCAGCATTTGAATATATTCAGGAAGTTACATACCATTTAGGCCGAGTTGTTAGTCCTGTAGTCCCTTTTGTACAAAAATCATGCCCGATATTATTCTCATGAAGATGCAGAGCTTTACAAATTTTATGAAGTTCAAAATCAATTTATATTCAGAGAACCAAATGAGGAAGGTCATCTGTTACATTTTACCAGCTAATCATAAGCATTGACCTTACTCTTTGATACACTTATCTTTTTTTCAATGGGAAGACTATGTTTCTAGTTAACCTCAGCCATTTAAATAAAACAAATTTAAGTAGCAAATTAAATTGTACTCATACTTACAAAAGGATAATACTAGTCAAAGCCTTTCAATTAAGTTACAGGGGAAAAAAAGGCATAACTAAAGCTTACTGCACATCTTAACTATGAAGACAGCAAAACAGCTGCAGGCATATAAACGCAGATGGGCACCCGATTCTGGTGCAGTTGTCTCCAGATATGGCAGGTGACCATGGGCAGCCAGCAAGAGCAAAGAAAGTGGTACCTATCTGGCAGCACTTTTTATTTTCAAATTAACACACAATGAAAAAATAGTGCCTGCTGAGTTATTATATTGACGCTTTCATTCACTGACCCAGAATTTCTGGAAGTCCCTGCTTAGATAATACCACAAATCAGTTTTTATATTCCTACATGTACACCAGTGCTCCAAGACAAGAGTTGAAAACATCAGCTTATGTAATACACACACTTCCTAAAAGCATCTCTTCAAAACACACTACCAAATGTATTTGATACCAGATTTCCAGTGCCACAAAATAAGTGAACATGGCTAGACATTAATTTAGGTTCTACAGAACTTCTGCATTAACCATTGCCTTATATTACCATTAAGAAACAAATACTGTAAATTAGCTACAGTAGAAGCCTTTGCACTGAAAGTTTCATGAAATCATTTTCATTCAGAGTTTTTTTTCACAGCAGCAACTTCATTGTCTACTGCTGATTGCAGTGTGAGTACCTTCAGCTTAGCAGTAACTTGCTGAACCCGTGCTCTTACACTTTCAATTCCAACTTAAAATGCCTTTCTGACACAATTTTCCAAGTTTGAGTACGTGGTACTGAGTCTGCTGTTAAACACAGTTGATTCAGATAAGGCATTGCATCTTCTATAAGGGGTGAGGAGAAATCAAAGCTTAGTTTAACTTCCTTTCTCCCTCCTCCCCCACCCTTTTGGTGCAAGTGAAATTACAGCTATTCAATAGTTGTGGAAAGGAAAAAGGAAACAAATTTTACTTAAGCACTGATTTCAATTACTCTTGTTCTCTCAACCACAAAATTTTCTAATATGGTCATCTCTCATTTTCAATTACTTACAACAAAGACTATTGGCAACTATCATATGTGCTCTATTTTAAAAGGCCTCATCCTTTCAAACGCCTTTTCTCCTTGAAAAGTAGCCTTGAATTCTTTGTTAAAAGACACCCTACTCAACATTTTTCTTCTAGAACTTTGCTTTGCAATACTTGTTTTATAAAACAAATTTTATATTTTATAAATAAACTATTCTATTTTAGAAAGTAGAAGCAATCAGCTTCATAAAAGCACCCAAAATAAGATCTCCATGTTAACTGTTTCCACATTCAATAATTCTGGCCCTTATTCTGCAATACCAACACATGAAAGCTGATTACTCCCATACTCATTATCATTGGGGTACATTTATGAAACATTTATATTCAAATACATAAAATATTTACCACAGGGTCAGAGAAACTGAATGTCCTTGACTTACCACTTACGATCATTGTACATTCTATTAATTCTGTCCCACTCTGCGTTCAGCTGGGTTAACGCGTCTCCTATTTGTATCGCCTCAGGCCCAGATGCTTCTAATATAACATCGGGCTGCTTCTCATGTATGACTGCAATTTGATCTCCAAGTTTATCCATGATGTCTTTTATATTCTGCAAGCACAGTAATGACACAAGCCACAGGAAAGTCAACACCAGCAGGAAATAAAAAAATATTTTGAAGACCAAAAAGTAATCTCTTCAAAACACTGTTTCAAAAATCAGTATCTAAAATAAGGCCATAACCATCAGTATCAGCAGTTTGCAGATCAAATCAGTTTTACAAACTGAATAGGCTATCACACCTTTTGTAAGCAGGTGCCCTTCTTAGATTTTTCATGAAGAGGATGAAATATATATACAATCTATCCCTGAGGTAAAGGGGCACACCATACTTCTCAAAACAGCAGTATCTTCATATTAAACAAATCTGCTCATCTTCTGAAGACATTGCACATGTTCCTTCCTCATGTAAAAAAACGAGCCACAAAACGTGACTTTATTATACTTCACATAACCTCTCATATGTACAGAACTGCAAAAGATTAAGCTACACAAAAAGTTTTAAATTGCAAAGTTAAAGGAATCTATTTCAAACATCATTGAACTACAGTGTGAAAATACCTTTAAACCAGAAGCTGTTGTAAGGCTGCTTTATTATTCAGAGGATCAACAGTCCATGAGAATGGTGGAATTTACTTATCTATTTAAATTTGAAACAATACCACTTCTAAAAGTTCTATGTTCTGCTATTTGCCAATTTTGAAAATATCGTTAGAACATACCAACATTTCAAAATCTGATGAGATACCTGTACAAAAACAAAGTATCTTAAACCTATCTTAAACATTCTTAATTGTTCTTAAGGGAGCACAGAAACGTAGTAAATGTGAACAAGAGAATCTCATAAAAAAAAAAAAACCAACAACACAGAAGTCACCCACTTTGTGAAAGGTAGGCATCATTCTCATTTGCTTTTGAAAATTATGCCAAAAATGAAAATATGAAAAATGAAAGCATATACACAGCACAAAGAAAAGTGGATCAGAAAAGCAGACTGCAGTTCTGAAAAACTTTTAAAAGACTTGTATAACAGCTGCAGAAACAGGTGACCTAGCTCTTCGTGAGAGGCAAGCCTCAGTTGCCTCAAAGACACATGGACCCTGCTATAGCTCCCAACTCACAGAGGTACATCCACTCTGCACCACACCACGTGCAATTCCCAAATCCAATGGATGTTTTCTGTGGGATTCTCTTTATCGTGTCTCCTTTGCATGCTCAGAATTAACCAAAACTCAGACTTCTACATATTTAAGTCACGTTCAACAGCAGTATTCCATACTCTCAAGCATAATTCCTTCATTGCCTTTTGAAAAAGGGCAAATCATTAAGTACTTCCTCATCATTAATCACAAAGGTAAATCCTTTGACAGACAATGAGGAAGTGGGAGCTTAAAATTGAGCACATATTGATGCTTTCCCAATATGAACAGGCACCTTTGTCTTGTGACCTTGTACATAGGTTCATACTAAAGTCAAGAATCTCCCTTCCTCTTCCCATCTGAACAATTGTTTTCACATGACACAGAACAGCAGCTGTATTAAGGACACCAAGCAGGAACATAAAGGAGATCTGCATTTCTCTACATATTATGTGGACTACATGATAAAATACCCAAGTTCCTCCAACAAAAGAAGTTAAATCCTTCTCCCCTAATCTCCCACCCAGCTTCCACACTGCTCCAACTTGTATCCAGATACTGTACAGAATGAAAAATTAGCCACCATACTGTCTCATTATTCAATTTCCAATGGATATTGATCCAGTATATACTGAGCAAAAATACAAATACAGCTATACAGTAGCTAAGGAGGTCTTCTTTCTGCTAGTCTGTTCTCCCCTCTGAATATGATGTTTAGACATGCTGTACCTTTAGAGAATCTTCCTGAGTTGAAAAGTCCTCATAGATGCCAGTATTTAGCTCAGGTGCATTCAGCAGCAGTTCGACATCTGCCATGGCCAGCAAGACTTTGTTGATTTCAACCAAGTATTCAGTGGAAAAAGGCAAGGTCCTAAGCCCTGCTGTAAAGTGGCCTTTTAACCTCTGCTGGACAGGGATTGCCTGAAAACAAAGTTAGTTTTATACTTCAAGGAACAAGCAATCTTACAAGAAAATCCTACATCAGTAGCCTACGTTCAGAATAGGCACTTTTCAACATTAAAAGACAAAAGAAAGGCCTTTCTAGCAATAAATCCAGAAAGCTGAAAGTCCTGCAGAAAACCATTTCTATACTTATAACAAAAGTTACAAAACAGTAGATGTCAGGCTTCACAATGACCCAATCTTATTCTTTATTAAAAAACTCTGGGGAGTAGCAAGGTCACTGCTGTTTCTCTCATCTTGCTCCTTACCGTTTCCACAAATTGCACTTCTTGATCAAGCCTCTACCTAGTTTTGGTTACAACCCACTGTCTGCTCCCTTCAACATCAAGGACTCCCAGAAGTTACCAATTTACTGAAGCAGATTTGTTTTTTCCATGTGCACATTGATTTCAATAAGCATCCCCATCCATATTACCCAACCATTTTCTTTTTAATAAATTATTGTTCCACAATACGCTTTCTGCAGCAATAATAGACACTAACACCTCAAGAGTTTGGCAGCTTTTATCTGCTCCTGGCTGTAAGAGTGGGTTATCTAGCCAAGTACCATGTTAGTAGATAAGAAAGCAAGAACAATAACTTAATGCAGCTTTTTCTCAGATCATAAATTATGGCCTGGATCTGAAGATCAGGAAGACAACTGCAAGAAGCTATACTCTGCCATGCCTGGCAAAGACAGCACAGGCAGGTGAAACAGATACTCCAAAGACTGAAAGCAGTTTTTTGCTGAAAAGCTTTCTTGTCCAACAGGATTCTGCTACTGTCCCTGAAAATGACCCAGTTATTTAAAATCAGCAAGGAAAAAGGTGATAACCCCACCTTCAAACACTGCAGAATTCATGCAAGTTCTAAGCCACCATCCTGTACTCAAGTGAGTCAGACTAGACAGAGGCACTCAACTGTATATATGATTTACTAACAGCTGAGAATACATTTAAGAGTGTGAAGAATAAATTTATGTTCACAGCTATTTCAGCCAGTGGATTTTACTTTGCAGTTAGTCTGGGCTGGGTGCATATATGAAATCACCAGTACAACCAACAAACAGCGAAATAATTAAGCCCTACTAACAAAGTTGTTTGCAAACACCTGTCCGTATCTCCCCCTTCCACACGTTTCTGAGCATTTCAAATACGTCATAGATTTTAACTGGAATCCAACATATGCAGCATGTGCAGTGCAAAAGAAAAAGAACTGTGGTAGAAAAGGTATGTTTGTGTATTCACCACTCAGGATTTCTTCTCATGCACTGAAGGATTTCATTTAGTTTGTGTTGTTTTGGGGTTTTTTGTTTTGTTTTTTTAAAGCAGACAGTCATTCCTGTATTGAAACTAGGGACATGGTTGTACTTCCTCAAGACCTTCACCATCAAATATGGTATGCTTTCAGTCATTCATTGCACACCAGTGAAATAAGATGTACAGGTACCTAAGCATAAATTGACTCTACTGAAAACAAGTGTTACAGACAAGCATCATAAAGCTTTTGCCTCTCTAACAGTACAGCAAGCAAGCACTGCAGTAAAAACCATAAACTACTCCATATGCTTGAGCTACAAATGCAGCATCTTGGGCCCTGACACTCCCCAAACACATTTTCTTGAGGCACTCTGTGTATTCTGTCAGCTTCAATTGCTGAGATTTGGAGCAAGAGCTCAAGGCTTACACAACAGTACGATTGCCTGTGGAAGAAGAGGCCCCAGTTCCAAAGAAATCAGACAAAGCTTGTGCAACTCAGACTATCTTTTCGCCAGCAATGTGGGCAAGTTGGGCTTTGAACAAACACTAGGATGCCTGCTGCAGCACAGCCGCCTGCAACAATTTCACAAGGTGTTTTCTCTAACTCTCCACCATCCCACAAGTCCCATTCTCACCATGCAACAGCCCAGAATATAAACTTCAGCCAAACTAATACGTCACTGGACTTTATTTTCTACTTCACACACATTGCTTTATCTCTCATTGGAAAAAAAAGACACTTGCACAAGATATAAAAAAAAAATAATCTTCTGTTGTCATGCAGAACACTTGTTCTCCATTTATTCCCAACACTGACATACACTGAAACTTTCTGCTTCTCCAGTAGCACAATCCTGGGCCAGGTTGCAGTGAATGTCTCCTGGTGCTGTTCCTGCAGAGCACACCTCAGTGCTCATCTCCTCCAGCTGCCTCCCATCACCAAGAAGCAAGATGATGTTTTCTACTTTCACAGCCCTCCTTCTTAAAGGTGAACATATATAAGTGTCATAAACACATTGGTGGTTTACTATAGCCAGGTTTTAATTGTTCAGCTGTTCTCTACCTTGCACTACAGACTGGCAGCTTCTAAAATGCAGCATAATGTACTAAAAAAATGGAAGAACAGAAGGTTTGACATAACTGCCTCACAAAAATCAAACAAATGTCACAGAAGCTGGGTTTTAGGAGTTTGGTCTCACACTTTTTTTGTTGGTGTTTTTTGTTTGGTATTTTTTTGGTTTGGTTAGTTTTTTTTGTTTGTTTTGTTTTTTTTAATTAAACTCTCTTATTAAGCACCCACAAATAAAAAGTTAATTGAAGGTTATTTAGGAGGAAATATGATAGCATGATTTAATAGCCCTTTTCTACTTTATTTTGAGTGGTGACAGAGCATCTTTATTAATTTGATCTCTCTTTAAATAGTTGAAAAAATGTAGGACTGAGGAAAAAAGGGAATACTCAATTACTGGTGTACACTCTATCAATAAGGATTCTCAATGGGAATTGCTAAAAATCATTTTAATTCAGCGGTGAAACAAAAATTTGTTTCCTCCTATAATCACTACCTAGTTTGACTTGCAATTCAGAATTTCTTCCCCTTTCCCCTTCTACACTTAATTGTTTTGAAACAAAACCTATCAAAGATTCAACTCAAGATATACTCTGTCTTGCTTCCAAGCTGATTTTAGAAAATACTGCCCAAGACATTGACAAAGAATTAAATAATTTACCTTGCATGTTTAACTACATAACATTTTTAACCGGAAGTGTTTACCTAGGCTAATCTCAGATCACCACATACTACCTATCATTTTTGCAAATAAATACCCTTTTGATTAGAAATGCTCACTTTTTAACTGTTCCTTGCCCCTTCTCTCATACTCAAAGTACTTTAAGGCCAACTTTCTAGGAAAAGGTTTTTCAAAGCTAAAATCTCACATCCATTTTATTTATTCTTGTGGGTTATTTAATGCAGCCAGTAAGCAACACATTTGCAGGCAGTGGAGCTAATGTAGCTGTTTAAGTAACCCAGAACACTCCCTTTAAAAAGCACAATAGGCAAACAAACATGTTTTATTGCAGGAATAATAACTTCAAAAGCCTTCAAGATGGTGTCTGTGTTTCAGTTTATAGCAGAAACTGCACTGTGCCTGCAACAGCAAATTCACTTACCATCTGCAAAATTATCATTTTCACTTCAGAACAGTTTTCGACAACCTGGAAAAATCTCTCAGGAACTTTAGTCAACTGATTACCTCTGCAATTTAAGGTTTAATTTTTCCTTTCTCTCATTCTGAGCAAAGTCAGAATAGAGCAATTGAACTAAATACTAAAGCAAGGTTAGAAAAGAAGGTACTCAAGGAGATACCAACTTCTGATGCAGGCTTTCCTAGCTAACAGATTTGTAGCAAAACAAGGGGGTATTCAGAAGCACCTAGTATCCAAAAAGTTACCAATATTTCAGAGACACTTAACTCCATAATCCCTAGAAGCATACATGATGAAAAATGTTTATTATCCAGCTACTTCCAGCAAATCAATATATAGATATCTATGACCTTCCAGTACATTAATAAGTCCCCTCCTCCACACTCATTTACAAAAATATAAATAATACATAAACTCTTAATTGGAGTCTACTCCCCAGCTCCGTGTCTGAAATCTTTCTTTCCCTCTATGTTGATTCCAAACACTAGTTTCTCTTCCTCTGCTCACAAGGCCAGGGGTTGAGCCACCTGCACCCTGGTGGCTCAAGAACTCACCTGGTGCTTCTCAGTCCTGAGGTGAGCACAGAGTACTGCAATTTGTTACTTGGTAGTCTGCAGGCCCTACGGCCAGATCCAGGTTTTCCCTCTCCCCACCTTCACCAGACTTCCCTACTGACTGAGGGAGGGTGTTCAGGCACAGAACAGATGGTAAAAATTTAGGACAGGTAGTTTCTGTTGCAGAACTTTAGCATCAGCCTACCTAACTCAGCCAGCCTAGAAACTACATCTAGAAGTATAAGGATATTTTTACACAACTTAACTAGTGGTGAGCAAAGGTAACATTTCTCCATCAATAGTCTATTGTAATTGCTGTGGTGATCCATATTTAAATGATATTTTGCACTTAGCACCCAGATACCAAGATGATGTAATCCAGCAGTACCAGGGATTAGCTGCAGACTACCCCTGAAGAAAAGGGCTTTATAGAAGGCAAAGGATCTTTCTTAGAGAAGTTCAGCCAACCTGTGGCAAGACCAACAGGGACAAGGAAAACCAGGCTGTGGCACAGCTAGACTGCTTCCATTAGCAAAGAAGCATCCAGATGCACCTTTTCCCCCTTTTTTATCTGGCAGTTGATTCACTCCAAGCAGCTGATGGTCAAACAGGAAACTTAAATCATGTTGGTTTACTTCAAATGCATATGGATCCGATCCCCGTTTTCTTCAAATTTTCAGGCATCACTCAGGTCCCGAGGAGCTCATGTACCACAGTACACTGAGAGTGACTGCTGGAGACCCAACAGAGTGGTCAGATGTGGGACGGTTAAACAGACCCTGGGGCCATCTTTGCTGCCCAGATCTGTGTGGGAGGCTTATAATTGGAAACAGTCTCTGAAGAGAAGCAGATGTAAAAGGTTTGCTTTCATAGCTGAGTAGCCTGCACGACCAAGGAGAGCAGACCATCTGCCATAGGTCTACAGCTATCATAGGGAGCTGAAGCCACAGAGCACTATAGCTGTGAATGAAGAGGTCCACATTATCATTTTGTGGTGAGTGTCTCACAGGGAAGCAGAGCACTTTACCCCTGCCTCCAAATTAATTGCTCCTGGTTAAAAAGTTATAGAGCAGTCAAAGAGAGATTGATTGGTTTTAATTATGAAGCTTCATAAGCAGAAACTGAGAAGTACTTGACAGATTGCCTAGCCCCCAAGCTTGTCCAAGAAATTACTTAACAGCTTTGCAAGGTTCCTCACTGTTATTGCCTAATATACTGAAGTAATTACCAAGCAGCCAAAGTGTTTTGAAGGATGAGAAGGAGAAATAAAATTTAAAAAAAAAAAAAAAAAAAATCCCACCATGTCAAACAATCAACAATGTCCTCAACAATTAAGACATACAGCTTTCTGGGCAGTAAATTTTATCAGATCTTGACACCCTGTTAAATCAGTAGTGAAACTGTTTGTCAAGACCTGCACACAGACATCATCACACGCAACTCTTCTCATCAGATACAGTCCAACTTTTGTCACTTTTATTAATCTTCATTGTGTACAGTGACACCAATCACTGGAGGGTGGTTATCACTCCCTAAACACCAGAGGCAGCGACAGGCAGCGCCGGAGCTGGTACAAACATCCCGACCACAGGGTGCAGAGGCACCGAGCTTAAGCCTCCAGAGAGGCTTTTGTCATACCCACACCAACCAGATGTTGAACTTGTCCTGGTCCAACCACACTGCCCAGATCCTGCTTTAAGACTTGGGCCTGATGGCTGGGATATTTTGGACCCACGATGACTATGTAGAAGTCTCAAAATAGTACATGCAGATAATTTCCTAATGAAAAATGAAGACTATCATTTTGAAAACACTTCTTTCCAAGACGGTGTCAAAAGAACAGCCGTAAACCCCTAATATATGAATCTCTAAAGCTTTTACTCTGCTCTAAGAAAAAAAAAAAAAATGTCTAATTTACCTGCAGTTTTTGTTCTTCTTCAATACCTTGCTGCCCTGACAGACGGTGCTCAGCCTCATCCAGCCACTTCATTAGACTGTCATGTTCCTTCTTATACTGGGAAAACACTGGAGATAGTTCCAACACCTGTCTCCTTTGAAATGACCTGCACTCCTACAACCCAGTGTATTAGGAAAATACAGTATAAGAAGAGGGAAATAGTGAACAGAACAGGTCCTACTTATTTGAAAAACAAAAATACTTCAGGGATTCTTTTCAAAAAGCAAATTCCAAAATATGCAATAGTAGCCACATTTTTTTTCCAATAGCTATATTCTATTTATCTGCACAGTCATGGCATCAAAGCCAGCCTGAGGGTCTTACCTTGCCTTTGAGGTACCCCTCACATTATCAACTGCAATATGATTCAAATAGGTGAGCTAAAAGGAGTATAAGAATACAAAACCCCTTTGTTCTACAGAAAAAAACATTTTTAATATGGCACGTGTATGAAAGCACCCTAACATACCAGGGTCCACAATTGCAGATAATACTCTCTACAGGAAGCAAAAGGAATTCAAGAGCAGACTCATATTTACACAAACCTCTTCAGCTGATAGCTCAGTGAATATGTCTGTGTACGTGTGTCTGTGTAGTCAGTCTTCAGACAGCCTGCAGGTGGAGGGCCAGGAAAGGTAAGTGAAGCAAATGCCCAACTATCTACACCTATCTGTGTAAATACACATATGGTGGCACTCTGTGAAGCTGTGAAAAATACTTTAAAAATCAGAACCACTCTCCCAGAACTCTGGAGTGACAAAATTTGTAGTTTGGAATTGCAAAGATTCAGAGAGTCAGACTGTGCGTACACACATTTAACTCTTCCCCAGATAACCTTATATGCTAAAAACATCATAACCAGGTTCTAAGTGGAATATCAAAGGGAAGACTGCATGAATGAGCTCTACCTATAGTAACTATCATAATCATACCTGCACACTGTTGTACTTTTTCTGCAGAAGCAAGAGCTGTATACGGATCTTCTCTCTCTTATGGTCCTCCATAGGCTGCTGTAACAACTGCCCTCCTCTCTGCAAAACTTCTTCAATCTGAGCTCTTTCTTGATCCAGCTAAAACAACACAACATTGTATTATCTACAGAAAGCTCAAATTAATTTTGGAAACCATAGCTATTACCTATTTAAATGCTAACAGTAACAGTCATAAAACTGTTTTATTATCGAAATGCCAGTCAAAAAATTCAACTACCCACAACTACCAAATTCTAAAATCCAACTTGCTCATTCCATAAACTTTGTAAAGAGATGCCCTGCAGGAAGCTCAGTCAATGAGCTAGCAGTCAGCAGCCACAGCAAGAGGGTGCTGTGACTTCAGCTCCATTTCTAGTCTAAACATTACTTAACAACAATCACTAAGCTCAGAGCAAAATATCAAGAAAATGAAAATATAATAAATATAAAAACAGCACAAATGGAAGCATATATTCTATAACAACAGATCCTTTAATAGAGGCCTTCTAAAAATTGTTTTCTGTAGTATACAAGCCATTTTCCATAGACTTACATTTAGCTTTCCAGCTCATTTCATAGTATTTCACATCCTTAAAAAGAAGGCAAATAGGGTGGCCTGACAGGTCTCTACACAATTCTGTAGCCAACAAGGCTATTGATGACAAGATGCAAACAGAAGTATGACAGTTTTATACAGGTGAATAGCAGAGCCTAGATAAGAATCTAGGATATAAACTTTGTTCCAAGTTCTTACTTGGACTCACCATGAGACATATTACAACACTGTTATTTGCACCTCCTCTTGTATGCATCCACTGACCTGACCTATGGACTGTGACTCAATACAACATACCAGTTTAAATTTAAACTGAAAAAAAAATAGCTACCCTGTGCAACAAATTAGAGGCCCAAAATTGCCAAATACATAGTAAGAGTCTCGGTGGCATTAAGTAATCATTTCAACATAAATTCAGATATAAATGGAACAAATAGCTTGCACACTATCACTTTGACAAGAAGGATTCCTTATAAACAGCTACTCTGAGTACAAGAGAGGATAAATGAAAACACAGCTTGCTGCCTGGATTATATATAACCATGATGAAAAGAGACTGATGTACGACTAGCTACTCTCAATGCACCAGTCAAAAGGCAACAGCTATGGGAAAAGTACAGGAAAATTAGGCAGTGTTTCCAACAACCTAGTAATTCCCTTAATTTTCTATTCCTGTCTTTAAAAGTTTTTCCTCAGAAGAATTCCCCCTCAAAGTCTGGAGGCATGTAACGTGAACAAAATAGAAAGGGAGTTAGCAATTTAATTCTTCCATCGCTCACAAACCTTTTCATCTTCCCCGCTCAACTCCAGATGCTTTTCCAGAACTTTTAACATATTCTGTACGTCACTCTCAAATTTTTCCAGATCTGGAAAAGCTACTCTGACTTCATGGGGCTCTGACATAACAGGAAGCCGTTCTTGTCCAACAAGCATCTGCAAAGCACAATAAAACTTTGTTGAAGCTGAAAATCTCACCTGAGCTGTCAGGCACAGTTTACTGATTTAAACCAATTCTCCAGGCTTAACAGTTTATGGGACCATCAGATATCAGCATAAAAAACAACTGCAGGAGTTGTTTGTTCTAGCACTGAGAATCAGCTGGGACACAGCATTAATAGGTATTACCTACATTCAGACTTCCATCTAAGCGTTTTGGTCTCAAACAAAAATCCTCTAGTCACATTAGCTTATGGTGTTCTCCTGTAGTTCAGATAAATATGTACAGCAACGTATGAGTTTTTCTGAATCTTTATAACATAATTCTGTAAATTTTTCCTCTCAACTCAACTCATTACTCAGCTAAAGATAGCAGTTAGTTTAAAACCAGTCTGTCCATTTTTCGCATAAATATCTACACTTAAAAGAGAATCAAAACCAGTGAAGTGCAGTTCTAACAGAAAGATCCAGCGCCTAAAGTTATTTGCCATCATTTTGGCAGGGACACACACACACACACACACCCCCGGCCTGTGTTGGGGCTCACTCATCCTCACCTTAGCACTTTTGATGTGCTGAGAGACCTTCTCAAAGTTACGGTTCAGTTCTGCCAGTTTGGGTTCAACGAGTTCACGGCACGACACCCCCCGCCCGTTCATGAGGATGATTGCCTGGTCACGCACGTTGTCCACGCGGAGACTGACGTCGTCTAATTCAGACGTTAAGCGCTGACAAGGGACAGAAAACACAAATGGTTATCCTAGGATAGGGAAAAAATACTTTTAAAACCCCAACAAAACAGGCAGCAAACCTGACTTGACTTCATTTAGAATCCCGAAGCAATTAGTTGGCACCAGCATTTCCTACCTTCACAGTTTCCTCCTTTTTGCTTGCTGGCTTTTTCTCAATCTCATCCAGTAGGGCTTCAGCCTGGTACAACCAAGTACTTATGTGGGCAACATTTTCATCAAAAATTTCCAGCTGGCTCTGATGATTCTGGGAAAAAAAAAAAAAAAAAAAAAAAAAGATGAAGAATAACAAATTATCAATATGAAAAACTTTAAATAAAAAAAAAATCTCAACACAAAACCCAAAAACACTCACACAAAAAACTTCACACCAAAGGAGATCAATGGAATAAAATGTTACGGACACATCTTGGAAAGGAACGCTGAAAATTAATTAGATTGTACCCTTCACCTTCAATAAGTGTTTACAAGAAGCCAATTTTCATTCTAGATCCTTTGATATTATTGTTCCCAATTCATGAAAGGGAAACAGAAGTAGCTAAGGTAGTTTGTCCAACTAAATGGAGACATACAATGTATTACATTACAGCCAGACCACAACATCTCAGTTGACCAAAAATATGATTGCACTTGTCACTAGCAGATAGAAGAGTACACACGTGCAGTGGCTGCAGGTTTTTGGGAAGGTTATTTTTTGTCTTTTTTTTTTTTTAATTCAAAGGGATGTAGACTAAAATCTATGAATTACAATAGTCAAGTTTTGTTATTTTACTGATTACATTAAATTTTTTCTTCTTTTCTTAAGAATGTCACCACATTGTAGACATGTTAATTAGGTCTGCTTTCAGATGTGGTCAGAAACTGTAACATTAGGTGCCACAGACAGAAAAAAACACATTGTTCTGTGTAACAAAACAAAGCTATCAGATTCAGAGAAGTACCATCCTGCTTAAGCATCCATCTTCTTAGCCAAAAAAAGGGTAGCTAAGCTTTGAAGTCTTAGACTAACAAAACCAAGGGAGGGGAGGAAAGAGACAGAAGGCCTGTGATCACTCACTATATCAACATCAAGAAACTTCTCACTTCACCTAGAGAAAGAACAATTTAACCTAACCAAGTCAGCATAAGAACAACACTCATCCACAGACATGAATATAATTTAGAAGGTTTTTAGTTGTGAACCATCCTTACAGCATTTACAAATAAGAGTAAACTACCTGACTACTCCTAACATGGACACCAATGGATTATGACGTGGTACGATCTGCCATAGGCGCTGGACAGGACACACAGGGCTCACCATCTAGGTGTACACCAGATTTTCCACAATTTCAGCCCATATCAGGTGCTTCTGAAGCTTTGTGTCATAACTAGCCAAACAACACATATTTCTAAACTATCTGAAAATATCAGTCTGATACTAGCATCAACTGCAGACTGTCTCATGTCCATTTAGCAAGACCTGCAGCTTTGGGCTGTATAATAGATTTAATCTTCTATTTACTCAGCCAAACAGATGTTGCTGGCCTCAACTCTGAATTGGCAGAGTCAAACACTTGCACTCGTGGGCTGTCTGAAAGAGCAATGGACTGACAGAAGGTCCTACATGCTTTGCTGAGGGAAATTATTTCCTGATAACTAGAAAGTTATCAATTGCCCATTAAACAGCCAACATATAGGTCCTGAAGAAATCAACACAGAAATACTCTGCTCATGCTGGACCTGGCACAGAGGTTTCTTTCAAGCTGAATAAAGAGCAGTCCACAGAAGCCTCATGGAAACTGATCCTTCTGAGCCAATTACTTTTATTTTCCATTTACATTAATAAATTCATGACCTTACAGAAAGTTGCATTGAAAATACAAGATCCAACTTCTGGGCTCTAATTAACCTGTTATGAAACAAACAACACTTCCATAACCTGGTGGGTTTTTCCCTCCTCAGTTTAATCTGACAGAATCAGCTACTACCAGTTAGTGAGTAAACCCAGTTTTACAAATGCTTATATGCCCTGTAACTCACTCATTATGTGCTATGACAGATGCCCCATTTCAGAATAATTTAAGAAGTTACTTCTAGGGTAACAAGAATTGTAGTAAGAGCTAAATAAGTGGACACAAAAGGCTAGCACTCCATGTAGCAAAAGAGAAAGTGATAAAACATAATCAGGGAAGAGGTAAAAGGAGATAAATTTGTAAATAAGGGCAAAAGACCAAAAGTGTAACATGATAGCACATAAGGAGAGGGAACGTGTTAAAAAGAAAGATAAAGAAATTAAAGCAACAGATGTGTGAAAGTTGTTCACTAAGCGTATGCTGGATTTTCTATAGAAAAGAGGAATCGCACCACAAACTCTAGGGAAAGTAGGAACCCAGAAAACAGCCCTAGCACTGAAGCCAGGAGAAAGTGAAAGGCAAAATAAAAAAAAAATAAACCTACTTTTTTTCTCTACAACTAATCAGGTTATTCCCACAAGGTCAAGTTAACTGTCTGCCTGGGATATTTACATAGACAGCTTCCTCACTGACACGTCTGGGTCCTTCATTTTCACCTCCTACCCACTGAGCAGTAGCCACTGCTACCCAGAGCATGGCACCAATGTCTATCAGCACATCCAAACCTCTTCCAGAACAGTATTCCACCTTGCTCGTATAGAACCTTACGACTCGCCCCTCTACAGAATAAGCAGATACCCAACCTACAACCCATGTCTAAGTCCACGAGAAGCTTCATACGATAGCAAAGTGAGAAAAGTTAAAACTGCAGCTGCTCAAAGGGGTGGGAGAACTGCCCTGAATACTTTTTACACGTATACTTACCAACAAGGTGTCACACCAGTCCTCAGTCCAGGTCCGAACTCTGCTCCAGCCAGCGTTAAGGACACACAGCTTCTCCTCCAGGGAGCTCTCGCTCCCTTCCACCAGAGCCTGGAGGGCAGTGCAGCTTTCCGTGATGCTCTTCAGATCAGCTTTCCTCCTCTCCAGCTCTCTCAGCACATTCTGAAAGAAGAGGAGGCAAAACACTGCAAGGGAGCCAGCTTTTTATGTCCACAGGATATAAGTAGTATCATAGGTGATTTTCACTTGAGAAAAATCAAACCAAGCAGAATCACCTATTGTTTCAACTCATGCTCTGTAAACATCAGTCTCCTTTTTTTGAGAGCTAGAGCACGAGAGCACAATGCATGTAAATGTGCTGAATAACTTAGTGTGAGACCTTTTGGGTTTGTTGTTTTATAACGTCTTCAAAGGTCCTTTTCATTATGTAGATAAAGAAAATGCAACACAACACATTAGAGGCCCACTTTTAAAAGATTTTTTCTGCACAGTCAAGCACCACAGAGAATACAATTTTCAAGAGGCACTTGGGATTTCTCTGCATCTTCTCCTATTGAAGTTCTTTTACAGTTGGCAGCAACGAGAAAAGCGGTAGGCCAAGGCTGAATGTTTTTCTGAAAGCCATCACCACTCACTACTGCATGTTCAATTCACTTGCTACATATTACAGAAGCCCTGTTGCTACATGTACACCTCTACCCAAATACATAAGAACATTTGTCTTTAGCTTTAATATTTTTTTCCTCTGGAAAACCTTAAAACAGCACAAATGCAACATAAAGGACTTGCCCTCCTGGTGGTGCAGAATGAGAGTTCATAAACTATTTTCGTTGCAAAATTATTCTACAGATATTTAGATTGTGCTTACTTTGGCCCATGCAATTTCTGTATCTAGATCAGAAAGCAAGCTCTCTGAAGTGGACTTCTGGACGAGCTCAGCCTCAGTGGTAGCTAGCCACTCTGACAAAGAGGTAGCCTCTTTCCTCATTTTGCGTGCCAGCTGGGATGCTCTTTCAAGGTCTTGTTTTCCTTCTGTCACCTACAAAAAAATAAAAAGGAAAACATCAGACCAACAAAGAAGGGAATTTGTATGCAGACAAATGTTTGTATGTACATTTCTTACCTGTGCCCCCAAGTCATTGTAAAGATATTTCAATGCTGTCAGTTGTTCATCCATCCCTTTGGGATTATCTGTCTGTTGTTTCTGTACAATTTGCCTTCCTGTCTTGATGACAGTTTCAACCTCCAATTTCACCTCACTGAGGGTCTTATAGAGTTTCTAAAAGCAAAAATATGTACATTGCTGATCATTTTTAGTGCAGAATTTCAGGCCTGGCTTCATCTGGGGGGGACCTGACCATTCGATTGCATTTAAACCCTTAGCTACTCTAGTCAAATCTGCTATCTGAGGCTTAAGAGCAATGTCTGCCAAGAATTTTTCAAACTCCTGATGCTCCATGTTTTTGTCTATTTTGAATTTTCATGCAAAAAAAAAAAAATAATTATCCCAATAATTTAGCAGTGTTTATTGCATAATATCACCATATGTGGCACAACTAGCTTTTTGATCTGTACTTAATCTTACATACAGTAATTGTTTTGTTCAAATACTAACATGCAATCCAACTTGCCCCTGGAGTGATGCTTCTAGATAACATGGGGATGAGCCAGGGAATGGAGTTCATAAAAACTCAGCTGTTCCACCACATCTGTGATCAATCTACTACTTTTATGTTCATATTCTCACCCAGAAGAATTACAGGTTTTTAGTTATCAGTTGTTCTGCTGGCAATTTTGCAAAGAGTTCTAACAGTTCTACTGGGACTTTAAGAAAAATTCCTTCAGGAGAAAGTTTAGGCAAGAGTAATCACACCAGAATACACTCAACCATGAGTTAAGAACCTTGCAAACTTACCATGCAGCTGTCCAGATGAGCTTGGATTACCTCTGGGTCCGTATCCTTCACATCCAAGACATGAAGCTCTGCTTTTACTCCATCCAACACCCTCTTGCAATCCAGCATGCGCTGCTCAAAGTTGGCTGGTTTCTGGAACAGCTGATACTTTGTAGATACCTCACGGAGTTTTCGCTGTTTTAATGAATATTATGTTAAAAGATTGTTTTAAAATAAATAACTGTGCTTCAAAAAAATAACGTTTAAAGCATCTCTCCCTGCAGATTCTAACTTGCCTCTCAAGCCACCACAACTCAGTATATATGGCAACACTATTTGCCAAGCCAAATCCCATCATCTATTCCTAATCTCCAAATGAGGTGCCAGAAAGCTGTAATTCTGTCAAACACTTTCAAAATATCCATTCTATGATACAGAGACATTCTGACTTTCAGCATTTACCCCATCATAGATATGAAGATTCAACTTCTTTATTCAATTCATCTGGAGCTGCTTGTTTCCTAATGAAAGCACGTAAAAGCAGGCACTATTTACTTCTGAGGTTCAGCTGACTGTATCAAGCAATTTACAGGCTGACAGCAGCAGTGTATAATGAAAATCAGAAGCTCTTTGTATCTAAATCGTTAGTGCAACTCCCATTTTTACCTGCAAAGCATCCAGCTGAGTTCCACCACGAGGAGACCTGCATTCAGAAGAAGCAGGAGGGAAAGATCTTGAGCTCCTCTAAGGTGGATTCATGAGCTGCAATCTCAGCTTGAATTTTCTGTCACATCATAGAAACAGGAAAAGAAGTTACAGAATTGCTTGCAGAGAAGGGAAACTTGCTTACCACCTACTACCCACCAGAATTAAATCCTCTCTGTGGAAGTTAAACACTACCAGGTTTATTATAACTTTTTGGCTTTGGTGACAGCTTGCTACATTGAAAGCCATTAAGACTGTTACTCAATACAGCCTGCTTAAAATAGGAAAACAACCCAGATTACAAAAGATATTGCCTGGTACATCAGCATGGGACTGAAATGAAGCTTTCGTGAATTTAGGCTGAGCTAAATATCTTATGAGATATTTGAAAATATTCCATAGTGAACAGCTATACTTGAATACCTGGGCTTCCTGAGGCATCTGAAAGGCATCAACCCTGTCAGTCAGGTAAGATGTCAGTTGTCTATCCAGCTCCAGTAAGTTTTCCTGCAAGACCTGCAACATGTGGTCGGTTTCTCGCATGGTCTGAAGCTGCTGCTCCAAGGCGATTTGCCGGCTCACTGCCTGAGAGGGACAGAAAGGCAGGACAAGATGGAGCAGTAATTCAACATGAATTATATTGAAGTTTCTCAAAACAAGGTGAGGGAGACCCAAAAATATCCTGCACCAGGAGGACTGTTTAAAAAGAGCAAAAGCAAGCCTTGGAACACAACAATTTTCGAACCTGCTGTGATTCATTCCAGTAACTGAGAAACAGTGGCACAGAAGGAGTGTTCTGCTGCTAGATACACAGGACAGTGAAAACAGGCCTCTCCTATCACCTCGGGAAGAAAGCATTCTTATAAAAACATAGCTGTTTCAAAAACTAACTATTCATTTGGGAATCAGGGACTTTGTAATACACTACAGATCAATACCACTTCATGCGTAACCTTGCACATTCTCTTTCAAAACAAACTTTCTGCCACGGTGTGAAACCAGAGGTGCATAGCTCTTCCCCTCCACTCCTGTCCCTTCAACAGCAAAGCACGGGGACACACACTCTCCAGTACTGGCACACGCACGGAGCGGTGCGTGCGCGCGCACACGCACACAGACGCGGGAGTTGTCAGCAGCCCAGTGTGTCAGCGCTGCAGCTGCCAAGCCAAATAGTTTTTATGTGGCAATAAAGTACTGTTCCAACAGGAAAAACCACAGTAAATGCTAACTTAAATGACAGCATATAGCCCCCAGCTGAGGGCAGTGCATTCGTGTTGCTTACTGTAATGAGGATGAACTGAAATTCCCTCTGACTACAGTTTGGCAGTGACAGAAAAAACCTCCCCTGCTACATTTTGGCAGGGGTCTGTAACATCAGGATACAGAACACAAGTCACGAAGTTATGCAACCTGAAATACAGCTAGTCTTCATCTACTTATTAAATCTAGAGGAGACTGGACTAAAGTATGAGAAGGGGACAACATAATAGATGGGGAATGAGAAGAACGTTTTCCTCCAGTTCCTTATTTGAGTGGGACTTCTTCCTACCTCTTTCAAAGAGTGAAAATGTCACTTACGCCCCTCGTTTTTACAGTCAGTGAGCAGCTCATCAATATTTATGGCAGTAGGAAGGGAATATTAACCTCAGTTACTGAATTGCCTCCCTTGAGATTAGAATTGCCTTTTTGTCAAAATTACCTGGAAAAATACCTGGACCCACAGTGCAAGGGTGTGCAGTTTGCAGAACAAACTCTGATTCAAGTCAGGGGGAAGAGAAAAAGAAAAAAAAGAAAAAAGCAAGCAAGCATCTTGCTCTTAGAGCAGTATTCCAAACTGAAAACAGCTGACAACATTGTGAAAGTTTTTCCTCTTTTCCTGTGTTGCAGGCCTGCATCTATGAATTCAGCTGTCTAACAGGAATCGTTTCAGACCACTGAGCAGAAAAACCCAGTCTATTTCAACCCTGCCCCCAAATTCTTACCAAGTGACTCAATTCCTCATAGCGGGCATTGAAAGCCTCCAATTTTTCACTGATGATATCATCAAGAATCCCTCCATCAATCAATGTCTGCCCAAGTTCCCGAATCTGGGTTCGATTATCGGCTGGATGACGCAGGACTGATTCCAGGGACTAATTAGCAGAGAAAGTTTTAAAGGTCAAGATGTGGAATATTACTGCCTTTTCAGAGATAGAAATCTGGCTGCATGCACAGACATTTTACACTTCAAATGCCTTGAGAGTGCTCTAAAAGCATGAATTAGTTATGGCTTAATCTGTGATGGCACAAGGCAAATACAGTGGTCATTTTGCTTTAGATAATTAAACTTCACAGCACTTCTCGCCTATTCACATCATTTCACACTAAAGTGCTGGAAGAAATTAATCAATTTACACAGGACAGGAGAGAGCATACAATTTTAGCATGGTACCAAGTACAGCACAATTGTGTACAGCAAAATTCAGGTTTTGGTGGAGGATGTTACAAATACCTGTTCCAGATTCAGAGTAACGTGTTCATTTAACCTGAAGAATCAGAATATTTAACACATATTTCAATATTCTATTAAAGTGTAGAATTTATGTTTTTTTTTTTAAGAGGAGCTATCTAATAAAAAGTTACCAATCCAATAGAATGACTACAATACCTCAAGAGCATCATTGACCGCATCCAACTTATCAGGCAGACTTTCTGTCATTTGCACCCTTTCTTCCAGATTGTTTAGCCAAGCTGTTTCTAAATCAAGATATTGAAGCAGCTCAATCCAACAGGACCACACCTCCTGTTAGCAACAGAGAAAAAAAAAAAAAACATAACTTCACCTAGAATGCCAGGCATAGCTCATATACCCTATGACAAGCTTAAAGGAATTATGTTTCTAAGGCTTTCTGACACAGTAAGTTATAGACACAAAAGCTGCAACTATAGCAGCAAAATAAAAAGACATATGCAAAATACACACAGAAGTCTCTAAAGTCATGCAAAAATCATCACTGACATCCAGATCCTTATAATGATTTAGAAACGTAACAAAATGCATCCACTCCTCTTGAAAGACAGAACATACACAACCTAGCCCAAACATAAGCACCATGTTCTAATTATCATTGTATTTCAACCTTTAATCTCGGAGAAGTCTCTTTTTGTCATTTTGGAAGACACATGAATGGATAACAGAGCTGTGAGACATGGTTACTTATTTGCTTTATTTCTATTGTAATCAACAAGTGTTGATTACAATACAGATTATAAAAGCAAAGTTAGATGGCATCTTGTAGAGTATGAGGATGTCATCTCACAGGAAAGTAATCTTAGAAAGAAGCCACAGCAAAATGTTTATATTGAAGCTACTGGATTCAATGGCAAGACTGGACATTTTCAGTGTCCTTCTCCATTCCTCTCGTGCCACCTTCTGTTTTATTAAGCTGAGAACTACCATTCTGACCTCCAAAGTGTGGCATTTCCCTCGGATTCGATTGCACAGCAGCTGGTAGTTCTCCAGCACGACGTTCAGCTCGGTCGCCAGGTCCTGACCGCTAGATGGCACTTTGGCAGCCAGCATCTTGATGTTGTCTTTGAGAATCTTCACCCGCACCTCCTTCTGCAACACGTCCTCCTTCGCTCTCTGCCCAAAGAAACACATAGCACAGTCAGCCCTCAACGGCCACGCAGTCACCTATTCACCACTCACACCAAAAACCAGCAAGCCTGGAAGCGCTGACGCAAAGTACTCTGGGGTCTGGGCACAACAAAATATGGCCCTAACTTGCACAGAGTCCAGATTATGTTAGTAAGCACTGAAAAATCGTAAATATGCCTATCTGTTTAATAAAATACCATTTATGGTTTTTTAATTAAAAATCTATTACTCAAAGCAAAAAAAGATTAAGTTTGGTGCTATTTATACACTAGCATAAAGATAGGAAAAGAAATTAACCAAGGGGGGAAAAAAAAAAGGTTTGCTAAAAACAAGCATATATCAGGGAGAAAAAGGTAGCATGAATTTACGGAAGTTATGAGTCTCAGAGCTCAGTAACTATCTCCCAAAGTTAGCCAGGACAGGTGACAATTAACCAGGACGTGTGCACCTACAAAGTTAGGACCTCTCGCACAGCTGTTGAGGAGCATGCAAAAAGGGCAACCAAAAGAATTCCTTCAACCCAACTGCACTCAGAGGAGCTTGTCAACAAATACACAGAATAAGCACAGTACAATTCCCAATGACTAGAGAAACCATATTCTCAGTTGTTGAATTTTGCCTTAACCAAATTTCAGGCAGCAGGATAGCTGGAAGAGAGATCATGCAGACAATCTCTGTTCAGACAACTAGAAGGCTTGGGAAACACAGACTGTCTCATATATCTTTCTTTTCAGGTTTCAAGGACAGTTTTATGAAGTACTTCTGATATATAAAGGCACTATACTATGACAGAATTTAGTACATGACAGCATCATTGTTGAATATATTGTTCACAGTGTCTCCTAAATGCAAGGCAATTAAAAAACAAAAAGAGTTACTGGAAGGGCAAAGAATGGAAAATCTGGGGAACTTTTTATGGCAGGATTATCAAAAAACACCTAGCCTCATCTTAAACCTGCTCCTTCAAATGTCAGCATGAATTTCACACTCTGTTTAAATGAGAGAAGAATCAGGCAAGCTCAAAAGTTTTCAAAACCTTATGCAAAAATATTCCTAGTCAAATATACAGAGAGTGTTCTTTCCCAATCCTAAAAGTAGTCCCAGAATAATATTCTAACTGCAATTGAAAGAGGATATGCAAGTTTTACAGTCAGCTTACTGGCTCGCCGGCATATCTGCCAAATTTAAAAGTACAGAATATAACTTGGATTTAACAAAGGTAAATGTGCTCAAAGTTTCTCTGATTTGCCAAAGAAAAGAGGATTTTTCTTTTCTTGGCTTGTGTTCAGCAGACTGTCATACTAGGTAATCTCAAATGGCTTCAAAAGACATGAATATATTAAAACACATGTTAAACACAGCTTCAGAAAGTCCCTTCAAAAAGAACAATGCAAAACTTCAAGTGGACTCGTCAAAGCACTAGTAAGGGAGAAAAATCCCTTTATTTTATGCTCCATAGAGTAACAGTGTAGTGGCAATGCTCATTTAAATAATGTGCATACGAGTCAAAACATTTGTGAAGATATGCCTGAACTCTCAAGATTTAAAAGCAAAGAGAATTATCGTTTAGTCTGTACATACATCAAATAAAGTTATCTATTCAACTGATAACTTAAATGAGACAAAAATAGCTCCTTTCTCTCCATTTGTTTGTTTTTGGTTTTGTTTTTTTTTTTGCCACTAGTCCCAGAATTAGCAAAGTGAGGACTAGCATCATTGTTTGTAACAGCTGAGCAACACATGACAACCTTACAACAGCACTGTTTCAAACTGCTTTTCTGAATGTGGAATTTCTGTATCTAGGAGGTGAACTAAAGCCCAACAGCTAGAAGCAGAAGAATATTTTTTCATAACTGCTAATTTAGAAAGGTATAATATCACTTCTCTTTCTCAAGCTTCATCTCCTGCAATAAGTTTTCATACTTCCATATAGTGTTTAATATGCTATACATAGCAAGCCTGGCTCAACAGCTGGGCACACTGCTGTTCATTATGAAATCCCTACCCCTCGTGGCCAAACAGAACATCTGCTTTTACAGTTTGTGCTTCAAAAACAAAATTTCCAGAAAGCAAAGCTGAAAAATACCACTAATCTTGTTATGACCTGAGTGAGCTCCTTCCCACACAGATAATAATTCCAAAAAAGGTCAATGCCCAAAGCCATTAAATTTTATTTCTCTTCAATCAGGTCTCTATAATGACCTGGTATTCCTGACCTTCATTTCCTCCACTGCATTCTCTAGCTCTTCAGGGGATCTGTATTCAAAATCTTTCTCCAAATATTCTTCTTCAGCTTGGGTCATCCATTCTTGCATCTCTGCCAAATCCTTCTTCAGATTTACAGCTTTCTCCTGACTTTCAGACAGGCGATTTTTCTGACTAACAATCTAGAATCCAAGGTGGAGAACAGAACAGCAGGTTTGTTATTTGATGATGTCCTTGTACACGGGGGGGAAAAAAAAACTAAGTCTTCGTTAAACTATTTTACTACCAAAACACTTTCAGGTCTTTTTTAATTAACAAAAAACTTCTCCTTTTACACATATACAGACACACACAAACTTGTGACCCATATTTAGCAAATCAACTAAATCTAGAGGTGAGGGAAGGAGGAAAATGACTTTTTTTTTCCCCACATTGCATGTACACTGATAAAAATCCCTGGAAAAAGCCAGACAGAAAAAACCTCTTCTGTTCATAAGTATCATATAGTTAAGATAAATCTTTATACAGAGCACTAAAACATCCTTAAGGCCTCACTTCTTTCCACAGCCCAGGCAATCTGAATTCTGTATCAACAGCAAGTCTCTCCAACATAGATCTTTCCCAGGCATTGCAACTAAAGAAGAATGTTTCTACAGACAGCAGAAAGCTTCCACCCAAAAGAAATGACCATAACATTAGCCTGTGATGGTAGCCTAATTTATAGCCAGTTATTTTTTAAAGCTGCTTGGAAGAAGGCAGGAGTTACACAGGGAGAGAATAATATTCCATATTTCAGGAACATAGGAATCAAAAAGGTCAGAATTCCCTCCTACCCACCCCAGAAAGAGCAGCATGAAGCAAAGTGAACGATTTAGTTTTTAAGTACAAGCCATTCAAGAGTCTACTGTGCTCCTTCCAGTTAGGTCCCAAGAAGTGCACGTATTCAAACAGAACTACCACCACACAGGTATTCCCCAACATATTTGGACTTGGGAAGGATACACTGGGCCAGGATGGATCTCAGCCTCTTTGACAGTGGAATGAGTGAAACATTCATGCCGCAGTTTCACCGCTTCCTCTCCTCCCCACCCTGCCAATGCCACACAACTGAACAAACAGCTGCAGTAACAACCAAGCACCAGCAATGTATGGAGAACTCACCTGTTTGCTCAGTTTCTCCCACTGAGTCTGGCAGTCCACTAGCCTGGACTTTGCCCAGGTATTTATGCCTGCAATAGGCTGAGCTCGTAAGGCAGACTCTACTTCTTTCATCTCTTTCAGTGATGGTTCAATCGTCTCCATTTCATTGACAAACATCTGAGCACACATCAGAGAAAATGAATGTTGTTCTTTACCATGGCATTACATACATTTATAGGATAACAATAATTTTGTGATTTTTAATTACTCCAGAGAAACTTTAATATAAATGTAGATAGATGCCGTGCTCAATACCAGACTGCTTAAAACAAATCTTCAGTGGGCCAAGATGTCAGAACAGTGCAAATAAAAAAAAAAAAAAAAAAAAAATACAGCTTGCTATACAGAGCACAAAATTCTCACATGCCAAATGTCAATACTGGAACAATGCAAGTTTGAAGATTATGTGCATTAAATACCCTGATATTTCTGACATACCTCATACTCCTATTTTTCACCCAACAACAAACATTTACAAGTACACTGTAATTACTCAGTATAATATGAAACTTATTTGTGATCCTTATGTGCCACCAGCTAGGAAAGAATCTTACTTGTAAGGCATACACAATTCCTAAACCCTAGGATTTTCTCAGAGTTATGTGCTTGTTATTTATATTGTCTTTGGGAGTTTAATGCAGAAAGCAGTTTACACTCACAGACTCAATTCTTTAATCCAAAACTGGGAAAAATACGTAAACATCTGCAGAGGAAATCAAGTCAACTTGTATATTAGTATCTGTAAATACAGTGAGGATCTTTGAAAAGTACAAAGTGTTATGGCTACACACAAGAAACAATTAAAATGTGCCAGGAAGAAAGATAAGACAATTTTTCTGGCAGGCTTTATAGAATGTCACAGACAATATTTAGTAATACCAGCAACATAATATGGAAGAGATGCTAGTCACTATTTATTTCAAAAGACTCTTAAAAGATCAAAACTCACTGTGCACTGGTCAAGTTGTCTTTGAAGTCCTTCAGTATCTACCTGAACAGCCTTCTCTGTCATCAAGAAGTCTTTCACACCATCCATCCACTTCTGAACAATTTTTGAATCAGTCTAAATCAAATATAGTAATGAAGAATTGTTACAATGCCATGATGAAGAATGGAGGCTGTTGCATGTCAACTTCCAACACTGTCAAAACAATAGTCTACAAGCTGCTAGCACTGCTTTGGTTTAGAATCGGACCACCTTTGGTCTAATTTTTGGGTGGGGTTTTTTTCCCCGGTTTCTCTGTTCTCAAATTTATATTTATCTCAGGCTGCCTAGAGAGGTCGAGGAGCCTCCTTCTCCAGAGACAGTCAAAAACCCACCTGGATACAACCTTGTGCAACTCCATCTAGGCAAACCTGCTTTAGCAAGGGCATTGGACTAGGTTATCTCCAAGAGGTCCCTTCCAAACCCCACCATTCTGTGAGAGGAACATTAAATTCACAATAGTAACATTTTCCTGTCCATGCCACAGCATGGTTTACTTGACAGTGCACTGCTCCAGGCTCTCTGTTACACAAACATAAGATCATCTAAGGAAAAGAGAGGGCCCTATAGAAATATATGTGGGGAGAAGAGTACTGAGTAATGCTAAACATACTTGACAGATAAAAGCTATGCTGGGAAAGCCATTCACCTTGCAGAGAAACACAGGCAAAACAGGAAAATAACCACAGAGGATTAGACTAACCACTGAAAACTGAAAATTCCACTTGAGGCTAATGGCAGCTACTGTACTCACTAGAGGAATGCAGAGGGGAAAAAAAATAAATACATACAAGACTTCAGAGTTATCTGACCTAACATTTGCAGTTGCCTTATAGCCTGTGATGAGAGAGACAGGAGGGCTATCATCTCCTTCCCATGCAGCATGGTCCCAGTCACCCTTGCAAACAAAACCAACACAACCTTAGAATAGGCAGCAAGCTTTTCCTTGTCCTGGTTCAACTGAGTTATGTGACTGAGTTAGGTTATTCTAAAATGATAAGCCACAATAACCTGTTTTTTTAATCAGCACCTTTTTGCTGTTTGGTTGGGTTTTTTTAATAGATGGCATCTTTTTATTCTGACACAATCCTTACCACTTATTGAGAAGCAAGTCAAAACTCATCAGCTTCACCTTCTACTTTACATGTCACCAAAGAAGAAACCACAAATTTTGTTTCCTTAAAAGCCTTGCAATAACAGTTCTTTCAAGACCAATATGTTATACACTGCTTCTCAAAAAAAGTCTCCACTAATGAAAACTCATTAGACTAAGATCATGTTTATTTTTAGGCCAATGCTATCATTAGAGGTCAAAGTCTTGACATTTTCTTCATTCTTTTTCCATTTTGGGGGAAATTTCCTGCAACTGATTAACCTAAAAAAATTGTTTTCCAAAAAACAAACCCCAGGAGGCTTAACAGTGAACCATGGCTTAATGTAAAAAAATAAATATTTATAAAGGCTGCCATTTGACAGGGCATTTTAGCATATACCTAATTTAGTTTGCTTACAATAAGCTGCTTACATAAGTAGCTGAAGTGAGTTAAATGAGATTACTCAAAAAGTTAGGCACACATTTAAATAACTTGCTGGATTCACAAGCCAAGTCTACAGTAGTTTAAAGAAACAAATGCTCCTGCCCTGTGCAGGTAATTACCAATGGTCAAATACCCAGTGTAGGTTTTCAACACAAGAGCTCATGATTTTCAGACAGGAACTAAAACACTGGATCAGTTTCTAAAATTTATTCCTAGCAGAAACAAAGATCAACTGTGCTGAACTTTTACTTGCTCACTCTTAGAAAAGAAAAAAAAAAAACCACCACATGATGTACAGCCATGCAGTAGACTTAACAGACCTGAAGGTAAAACAAAAACACAGCAAGCCACACATTATTAGAGTTATGATAACAGAGTACAAGATACAGAAATTGTCTTCTATATAATACAAGATGCAAAACTGATAAAATGAGCCTCATTACTTTTCCCATCATGTATTACAGTCTCAGTAAAACACAGAACATGTCACTAATGCAAATGTCAGCTTGGGGGAGCCTCTGTCTCATCACAAATCACAGAAGGGCCACCTGAACATCAGGACCCTCAAAGCAGATCTGCCACTGACTTGCTTATCAGACTAAAATAGATATTCTAAGTACTGTTCACCTGTCTGTTCACTGATAAAATGAAAAGAAACTGCATGTAAGTATTCTCAAAAACCTAAATGCAAGGAGTGCTGTTTTAAAAAATACACATCTTTAAAGCTGAACTAAGAGAAGAGACGTTGAAAATAAACCAACACTTGTGTGTAGTTTCACATGATCACGTGTTCTCCAAGAGCTGCCATTCACTTTTTTTCCTCCACCACTTTCAAATTGGTTTTGTTGGGGAGGGGGATTTTTTCTTTGCTTGGGTTTATTTTTTAGTTTTTTTTTCCTTTGTTAATAGCCAGACAACTTCACCTCCTCTCTTAATTCACGAAGATGCTGCCTAGCCATCCTTCAAACTAATCTTGTGTCTCTGGTATCACATCTGCAGTACTGTCCCATCCAGTGTCTGCACCACAACCATATACAAAGTCTCCCATATCAATCTTTCTTGCAGTGCAAGTTCCATCCGGATCTATCCAATACCATACATATTTTTTAACTTACTCCACATTTTCATTTTTATTCATACATTGCTAGACTACAAAAGTCTCCATACAGATTAGTATCACTCCTTCAAAAGGAAAATCAGAGAACATAAATATGACTGTCGATCCACTGACAGCTTTATGAAACATTTAGTAAACATAGAACTGTGTACATAAAAATTCAGTCCATGAGAAAATACCCCTGTTGTAAGCCCCATATTTCTACACACATTTCTACTATGTATTTCCTCCATTTTCAATTGTTTAATAATTACTTCCACTGTTTCTTCTGCTTCTAATTTCTTTTTCAGCTTTTGTACTTTTTTTTTTTTTTTTTTTGAGGAAAGTTTACAACATCTTGCTCAGGGCAAAATTCTGTTCTCAGGTCTATAAACAGCTTAAATGCTCTGCTCTCCATAGCTCTTCAAAACTTCAATGGCATAAGAATCCCCATCTTCCATCAGTGAGTACTTCATCTACAAGGAGCATCGCTTTGGACAGCTGTGGAGAACAGGGCACTTCACCTTTGGTTAAAAAAACTGAATAATTGTTTACTAAATAAAAACCTGCCATGCTAATATTGCACATACCATTAAACATGAGGGAGAATTTTAGTTTTCAGGAGCCATTCTTCACCTAGTTAAAGCTGTGACTTAGGAGACTAGCTGCATGTACACGCCACTCAGCGGAACATGACTCAAGTGCAGAAAAAGAAGAGCTCCACACCCACAAGAAATTAAGGGAGAAAAAAAAACTGCTAAAACTGATGAGGCAAGTAGGCCAGTTTGTGGCTTCCATTTACAAGTCCAGTAGCCTAGAACTGGACTACCACACCTGAGCTACCTGTGCACACACATCCCACACTCGTAGGAGCAGCTCAAGTCCTGAAACATATAATAGGTGAATAACACTTTACCACCTGGAGCAAGTTTTTCCCTCCAGCCTTCTTCCTCCAGTAAAACTTTTCACAGGAGCATGGGTGTGCACTTGACTCTTCATTGCATTCAGTTACCATTTGTTACCCCTACTATGACTTCCTCCAGGTTTGTGTGGGGTCTGTTGGTTTGGATTTATTTTTTGTTTTTAAAAAAGGGCTTTCAAACTATAAATTTCAGTTTAAGCACAGGTGTCTCTAAACTTGAGTAGTCATTTAAGATCCTGTCTAGCTTAAAACAAATTTTAAACAAAACAAAAAAAAAATCCACTTAGTTTGGTATTTGAATTCACTATCAAATAAAAGAAGAGTTTTTTGCTTCAGAGGAAGAAGAGAGCAAGACTGAAAGAAAAATTAGGGGAAAAGCAGTGGTGTGAATGCATGACCAGTGTTCTGAAGAGGGTGCATGCAGCAAGTTGCTTATGTTTATAAATTGCATGATACATTCTTTTCCATTTGATAGAGTAAATAATTCCACACATTAAAATGTTTAACACATTATTTTGACATCTTATTTTGACACATGTCAAAATACATGTCTGTTAGCTAATGAACATGTGCCTTCATCCTGAGAGACAGAGAGTCTCTAAAAGCACTTTTTTGCTTTTTGAAGTTTAAAACATAATATAAAAATAATATGAAATTAAAGTCTAGTTAAATATTAAGGGGAAAAAAAAAAAGAAGGCACTATATTTGGGTTTTTATACTGCTCTGATCAGCTTATACTTCCAAGTAGATCCTGAACAATGGTTAGTGCCAATTTAACTTCTGGGTCACAATAACATTGCCATTAGCTAAATCATGATATAGTTAGTTCTCATTATTTTCTCCCTCTCCCCAGAGTAATACAAATAGGTTAGAGAATTGACTTAAGGCAAGCACAAAGTAACCCATCTAACCAATAAATAGAGTCAACCTCAGTAATGTTACTAAGCACTTATCTCTCTCCCTTCTTTATCAATGGGTTAAATAGCTAAATGTCCTTTAAATACCCTTGCTTCTAATCTCTTATTTTTTAAAGCTTTGGGATTTTCTGTCATTCAGCATTCCATGTCTATGTGTATATATA